ATTCCACCCCCTCCCCCTCCTCCTGCACCCCTTGGCGCTCACCACCACTACCCCTCCTCGGCACGGAGCAGAGCGGCGCCAACAGGTGCGTCCGGGATTCCCTTCCCTCCCCGATGAAATACAGATCATGTCCGGTCACGCCAGCAGCGCTCAAGGACGTGCACACGCAGGCACACTGACCGCCAGGTCCTTTTGCAATATTCACAACGATCTCTGCGATGCCGTCTTGTTCAAATTGCCCGATTGTCCGCTCGTCTGTCCTGGCCGGGCCGCGGGCCGGGCTACTTGCTGGATGGCGTGATTGCCGAGTAAATGGCCCCCCTTGTTCCGCTCCGGGCTTCATGACGGAGGACGGCGGCGTTTCTCTACCCTTGGAACTGCAACTGTCGACGCTCTCCATGACCTCGCTCTCTCTCCCCTCTGCCGCAGATATGGGCTGCTGGGCGCGTCCGGCTGCGGCAAGACGACGCTCTTGTCGTGCACGGTGGGCCGGCGGCGCCTGGACGCGGGCTCCGTGTGGGTGCTGGGCGGCCGGCCCGGCGAGCCCGGCAGCGGCGTCCCCGGCCCGCGCATCGGCTACATGCCGCAGGAGGTGGCGCTCGTCGGGGAGCTCACCGTCCGGGAGACGCTCTTCTACTTCGGCTGGATCTTCGGCATGACGGACGACCAGATCGAGGAGCGCATCGCCTTTCTGCAGCAGCTGCTCGACCTTCCGCCTAAAAATAAGTTCGTGAAGCTTCTCAGGTGAGTGCAGGTGACATGGAGGCTTGGCACGGTGATCGGATCGGATGCGGACTATTGACTTGGTTGCTCACGTTTGTCGTTGTTCTTGTACTTTGCAGTGGTGGGCAACAAAGAAGAGTGTCCTTCGCCGCTGCCCTAGTGCACGACCCCGAGCTCCTCATCCTGGACGAGCCCACCGTCGGCTTAGACCCCATACTGCGGCAGGCGTGAGTAGAGGAACACTTCCAAGGAGGTTGTTTCCGTTTCTGTGCGTCCAAAGTGGGGATCTAACTAAAGTTCAAATTTCAAAACAGAATTTGGGACTACCTTGTCAAAATCACTCGAGATGACCACAAGACAGTCATCATCACGACGCACTACATCGAGGAGGCGAAGCAGGCCCACTCGGTGAGTGTCCGACGTCACGCGCACTCGTGCCTGTGAAACCGCTAAAATATCGACACGTTGTCCAAAAAAAGGGCAAAACTGGCGTCTTTCTGACACCGTTTCGCTTCGCTCGGCTACTGGGACGCTGACACGCTCTCTGTTGCAGATAGGGCTCATGCGGGCGGGCCGTCTGCTCGCAGAGGACTCTCCCAGCCAGCTGCTGGACCGCTACGGCTCGGCCACCCTGGAGGAGGTGTTCCTCATCCTCAGCTCGAACCAGGGCCCCGTCGACCAGGGCCCCATGGACGCCGCTCTAGACCAGGCCTCAGTGGACCAAGGCGCCGGCACCCTGCCCATGACGGCCAGCTCCACCGAGGCCCTGCATCAATCCAACGGGGACATCGCCACAGTAAGGCCAGCCGACACTCTGTCCGTGTACCGGGTCGCATGCGCACCTCTACAAGTTGGGCTGCTTTTAGCCCGCTCGAGGGCTGCTCCATCCAGTGGGCCTGAAAAGCATCCAGATAGTACGCCCATAATTAGCCGTTACGATACCTGCCTGCAAAGCTCTCATGGCGCCTGGTAGGTAGGCAAGACCGTGCCTGCAGTGCATGCGTGTATTGCGGGGTGGCCTACCCTGCATATCGCAGGCGCTGAGCTCCCGTAACTCGCCGAATGAATCAAAGGAAAACGGACGTACTTTCTAGACGAGCCCTCACAGACGACCGGGAGATGGTCTGTTTGGTTTTCTGTCTATCTGTTTCACTAGAGGGAGATGAGCTAAAGGCGAATTATCAGGTTACGTTAGCGTTATTTCTGGAGAACAAAACGCCAACTGCCAACTGCAAATCCTGGCAACTCCGATCAATGGGGTAAATGGGGAAAACATGACAAAGTTTCGAGATTTCTGTCGTGTTTTAGAAGAAAACTTTCGAATCTGACAACCACTTACAACGTTCGTGGCCAGCTTATTACCTGTTTATTTTTTCATTCAGATTTCACCAAACGGAAATGACTCTCTGGCGCTAAGGAAGCTCCCAGTGAACGTGAGTATCATCCCGTTAACTTAAGAAGTAGAGACGATACCGGACGATATACGACACCATTCAATATCTCTCACACGGCCCTCTTTATCTGACGCACGCAGAACAACGGAAAGCCTTGCAACGGTGGCGGGTACGACGTGCCGGTGCGAGCGCGGCCGCCCTTCTCCAACATGTTCAAGGGCCACGTCAAGGCGCTGCTGGCCAAGAGCTTCCTCCGCATCCTCCGGCACCTCGGGTGAGTCCTAACTACTGACAGAAACGGCTGTCGACACTGTGTTCAAACAACGATATCCAATCGACGTCGAATTTTTGCCTTTTCGACGGCGGTCCGCGATATCGTTTCCCTCCGGCCGCGTCCCTTTGCTACTCGTGGCGATACCCCGCGCGCCGTGCTCACGAGCAGACAAACTAACGCAGCACGCTCTTGCCCGCAGCGCACTCGGCTTCATCTTCATCTTCCCGGTGCTGGAGGTGGGGGTGTTCTTCACGGCCATTGGCGGCGACCCCCAGGGGCTGCAGCTGAGCGTCGTCAACGAGGAGTTGTACGCCATGAACCTGTCCACCTGCGACGAGTACAGCTCCCTGTTCGGCAAGCCGGGCTCCACGTACACGGGTGGCACGGATGACGACTACGGCCAGCCCGTGGGGAACTGCTCGGTGCGGATGCTGTCCTGCGCCTTCCTGGGCTACCTCGACCACCGCATGGCGCACCAGGTCTTCTACAAGGAGAAGGGCGAGGCGCTCAACGTGTCCCGGGCCGGCGACTCTATCGGCGTGCTGCACTTCGGACCCAACTTCACCGAGTGGCTGGAGGCACGGCGGCGCTACGGCTCCGAGCTCACGGCCGAGGAGGTGGACCAGGGCGAGATCCCCATCTGGCTGGACATGTCGAACCGGCAGCTGGGCACCATCATGACCAAGAGCATCGTCGACTCGTACCACGCCTTCTCCAGGGACCTTTTGAGCACCTGCCACGCCAACCCCAAGATAGGCGAGATCCCCGTGCACTTCGAGGAGCCTGTGTACGGCGTGGAGAACCCTAATTTCGCCGTGTTCGCCGCCCCGGGCATCATCCTCACGTAAGGACCGCCTGTCATAGACAGGGTAGGCCGCCCGGCGCGACATGGCCGTCTTGCGGGTCTGCCGAAGTGCAAGGCGTTTCTGGCTGCAAGGTCGGGCGGCGAGTTATAGATGGAGTGAAATGTAAAATTTATCTTTCGTTTTTCAGGATGATATTTTTCTTGACCACTGGTCTCACTGCGACGGTAATGATTACTGAGAAACAAGAAGGATTGTGGGACCGAAGTTTAGTTGCAGGTAAAGAATAATTCAATTACGTTAAAGTGCTCTCCTTCTGTGTCTTTTCTCCATCTCACGTGTTCTTTCATGAAATATACAGGAGTGACAGCATGGGAGTCATTACTTGCCCATGTGGTTACACAAGGTGTTCTTATGGGTATTCAAGCTGCCCTTGCTCTCATCATGATGTTCTTGGTGTTTAAAGTTCCTTGTGCTGGGCACATGGGTGACGTTATTTTCCTTGTCTTTATTACTGGAATGACTGGAATGTGCTTTGGTATGTTTTTCAGTAATGAGATATTACTTTTTCAGTACTATGAATTTCAAAGTAACAATACAATAATGTGGGTTTCCTCTTATTTTCTCTTTGAACAGGGTTTTTTGTTTCGGTATCATGTGAAACTGTAACAACAGCCAACTTTTTATCCCTGGGTAGCTTTTACCCAATAATTTTATTAAGTGGTAAGTACTGCTCCTTTCATTTTCAAGTGAAATATTCTTTGAACCGGATGCAATAATTAAATTGTACATTGCAGGGGTAATTTGGCCATTAGAAGGAATGTCGACAGTTCTACGTTGGATTGCACTTTGTCTACCAGTTACACTATCTACTACATCACTTCGAAATATAATGCTCAGAGGCTGGGGACTAACCGAACCTCAGGTGTACATTGGTTTCGTTGTAACAGGACTATGGGCCGCAGGTTTAATTACTATTTGCATGATTATACTTAAATATCGTAAGTAGTTTATGTTTTCTTGAATGCTCAAATATTGTATTGTGAGTTGGCTTAGGTCCTCACATTGGATAAGACTTAATTAATCAACCCAAGTTTAACTGAAATGAAAGAGGAGGCTGTGAAGCCGCAAATAGGTGTAAATCAGGAGAAGGGTTGATATTTATGTGAGCTTTTTGCTTCTAAGATTTCACCACTTCACATACTTGATACTCTCTAAGCATAATAAATATAAGATATTTACCAGTAAGTTTCTAGGCAATGGCTGGAATGGTTCAAAGCCTTGGCATTATAGTCAGTAAATTGTAAGGTTTTCATTATTTAAGATGAATTATCAAAAATATTTATTCAGTGTTGTTGGTAAAATAGTATCAGATGCCAACCTCATAAGTCCAGGAACTAGGAAATGTGTGATATCCCAGTCTTGATTTGTTTGGATTTAGATTGCATTGTTACAAGAAAATGTCATAACTGTGCCTCATGATATCCAAGTTATATCATTAATTTGTTCTTGGACTTTTATTATGTGATATGTACAAATTATCGTTCTTTTTGATATATTTCAATAGCAAAATCTAGTAGGATTAGATGAATGTTTTAAAATGAGGGTGTTAAAAGCAACAAATACCTACTTTAACGCAAGGAGGCAAGCAGATGGCAAATGTATCCATTGCCACATTAGGCCTAACTGATCAAATGTGATGTACAAATATAATAATTTTTTGTTATGTTGCATCATTTACTATTGTACTGTACTGTGAATATGTCTAATTGTAGAAGTGTAAACAATGAGAGCTCTTAACATTTACAAAATATGTCATGACAGTTGGATTTCATATTATGTAAGTGACTATTTATTCTTAACGGCCTTGTGAACCAAAATCTTATTTATTCACAAGAACTCTTTAAAAAAATTAAGCTGGCCTTTTAGGAAATTAAAACAGCATTAAGACATCCAACCATTTAAATTTGTAAGTTTATTTACCAATCAATAGTCAGAGGGGATTTTAATGGCAGTCTTAAAATACACATCCAGATGGACAAAGAAAATTACCACTATGTATGTTTGAGTTGAATAAAATAAAATATGTTACTGTGGGAAAGTAGATACAGTACAAAATTACTCCAAAACAAGATTTCTTAACAGCACACATGTGCACCAGCCCATTAGTAAAATATACCAAATACCATCACAAATGACTCATAAATGACTGAAAGTAACCTGTTTTGAACATATGACTTATCATAGAGATGTAAATCAAAAGAAAAACCAAAAGGAAAGCTGTTCTTTCATGAGCAATCCTGTTTTGGCCTTCTTCTTCAAATTATACCAGGTTCCATTAACATGCAAGAATTGATCTAGCTCACAAATATTGAGCACTTGAAATGCCCTTGCAGAGCTGATGCGATTAGTAGTTCAAATCTAATATTCACTTCATAACTAAGTTAAAAATCACAGACAAAAGAAGTCACCAGTAAAGAATTGTTAATGTTCAAGGGCCCCTGTCTGATGTGGAAGGGCGGTTTGAAGCTCCATTGCCTCGAAGATTTTGCTTAGCTAACTCTACCTCAAGTCTTTCTCTTTCACGCAGTAGTACTTGGTGCTCAAGTTCTAACATTTCTTTTTCCTGGCGCATGTTATCTCTTTCTTCTTTCAGCTTTTCGGTTTCGTAGAGCAGTTTCTCCACCTGATAATTAGATTTAAAAATGAGTTTCATAAATTACATTGATTGTCATAATTTCAGTTGCATAGGATAGGACAAACCTCAAGAAGCATCACATCCCGCTTCAACTCGCACAATTCGCTAGCACTGCTACTACCCATTGTCAAGTAAACCTGAAAAACAATCATCACAATGAACACCTCAACATACCTACAAGTCTCAAATAAGGTCTAAGTGTAAGTCTGATATTCATCATTTTAAAATATTGCCATGATTTTCAGAATCTAGGCTATTATAAACAGTGGTCTAAACATAAACAAAAAGGGGCTGCAAGTAGGTTAATTAGTTATGTCTCCTTCATGACACTTACAACATTTCCTATGGAAAATTGAAATAATTACTTCGACAGTATGATGTCAATTAGCTACACGAAGAAAATTTCACAATTTTTGAGAAAAGCCAAAAGAAAATAGACATTGTAAAATTTTGACTTTAAACTTCTGAGAGTTCTTGTCAAACTAATATTTATGGTAAAATTGCTGATAAAAAAGGGATGAAACAACCACTAAATAAGCACTGCTACGGCAAGTTACATTAGTTACAACTTACTTTTGCTATTTATTCAGTAGACTATGATAATTTGGTCAAAACTTCAAAATTTAGCTCGAACACCACTGTTTCTCTTGCTGTTTCTCATAACCTGTCTGTCTGTCTACCAACAAACAACAAAAACAAAACATGAAAGAAGAAACAAAAGACTACGAGCTCGAATATTTCGAGACATCGACACCTTCGGTCGACTATCTCGGCTGCTGTCGAGGTAGTTCTCGCAAGCTCCGGGAGAGGGCGCGGCGAGTCGTTTTGTTGTGGATGCCGGCAAGGGGCGGGGCCTGAGGCATCCTGCATCCTTCCTGCTCTCCTGCGTGCGCCTACGTGCGCCCTGCGTGTCCGTGAGGGGTCGAGGTCCCAGGCTCGTGCTGCTCGCTGGCCCAGCGGTGCCCAGAGCGGTAGACTACATCTCGGCCGAGGCGTGACGAGACGCGTGAGCATTTCGATCGAGTTCTTTTGAAGTGAAAACGAAGCCGCTTCGTTGCCGGCGAAACCCTGAGAGAAAACCCCCCACCCCCTGCCTCTCCTCGCCCTGCAGCCGGTGGGGTTGCCTGCCTCCGTGACAGAGGGAAGCGCCCGGGCCCAGCCGCACCAGCACGCGCCAGCCGAGGAGAGCCAGTGCAGCGACACCGACGGACTGCCCTTCGCTCATCGCAGGTGAGTGACCAGTAGTTAAGCCGACGGCGTTTATGTGCCGGTGGATGGCGGCTCGTTTGCCGAGGAAGTGTTTTGCACATTGTTTCACTGACGATGGCCTCATCGGGCGCTGCTTGTCGTCAACTAAAGGGGCGTGGTTGCATCCAACCCCCTCGAAAATAGCAACCCAAAGCAATGTATTTTCTTTCTTCGAAAGGGGTGGGGGTGGCCAGCCGTCGCGGATTTTATATTCTTTGTCCGACAGCGGAGGGCATCCGCCTCCCGCCTCTCACTTTTCCCGAGGGGAAGCCGCAGTGGGGAGGGGGTGAGGGGAGCTCGCCCTCTGAATCCAGAATCCCCCGTTCGGATCGCTTTGTACTGCGAGGGCGAGAGGCAAAGAAGAGGGCGGGAGGGGAGAGGGGTGCGGGTGAGAACGAGAGTGAGGGCGAGGGCATTCAATGGAGAGCCCCCCCCCCTCTCTGCCTAGGTGGGGTGGCTGCGCGGGGTAGGGTTTGTTGTGACGCGTCGCTCGAGAGTGAGAGTGAGAGGCTGGGCTGGACCGTTGGGGGAAGTGAGAGGGGCGGCTGATGCTGCGCCTGGCGGGGCGCGCGCGGGGAGGTGCGGAGGGGTCTACCCAAGCCCGCGGTTCGAGCCGCCGCGCCCCACACCCCGCCCGGGGGTGGGTGGTGTGGTGTGCCTGCCTGTCGTTCACCCCGCCCGCCCCACCCCCAGTTACGCCCCTGCTCGGCGCAGCGCGCAGCCTCCTCCATCCCCGAGGCGGCCCCTTGTTCTCTTATCAAGCCGGCGCTGCTGCCCCTGCTCCGTGTAACGTCACTAAGCCCGCGTGCCACGACGGCATAGTGCACCCGTCAAGTCACCTGTCAAATTACCGCTAAAATACGCATCAGCGTTCCGCAAAGTCACATTCCGCTGGCTGATATAGGGTGAGTGTGTTCCAAAACATACCTTCCTTTCGTTATACTGTTCCGCATGCAGGTGTTGGGGCGGGCTTGCCTACCTACCGACTCACAAACGCAACGCGACGCCTTAGGGCCCCGTGCGAGTATGCAACCCGTATGCACCGCACGCCGGCGTGCGGACGGGTTGCATACTCGCACGGGGCCATGGGGCGCCAAGGAGACAGTCGGTAGGAAAGACCCGCTCGGACACCAGCACGCGGTGCGGTACAGTAGTATAACCAGGGATAATTATGGCTTAAGACACCCACCCTGATTCCGCCAGATTTGGTGCGAGGATGAAGGGGCAGAGTGGGGGTGGCGGG